AACCGGCAATTCTCCCAGACGGAAGATCTTCTAGTTTTCTTCTATGTGACGTTTTCCTTTAGGTGGGCGATAACGGCTCTCCACAATTTCCTCTCCTTTGCAACTCTCAGTGAATTTCTTTTTGTTAATATCTTCCCATCCCCGTTCTGCGAACCATTTACACAAGATCATTATCTAGGTGACTCGCTGCTTGCCACTGTTCGTCTTGCATTAAATATCTCTTTGTGGGTATTAAAATTTCCAAGCCTTCTTTCCTCGCTATGCGCCCCAAGAAGTTGTAACTGATTCTAAGTATATCTGTTTTTTTTTTGTTTTTTTGTTCACGTTTTTCCTATAACTTTGTCGAAATAATAGCTTCATCGGCTGCAAGAAAAGTTTGGTCACTGTTTTTGTAGCCAAAACTTTCACCTTTCGGAGTCAATCTTCCACATTTAAAAATCTACCATTCGTCCCTTACTACCATTAAGACGGCTAATTCTGAACTCCAGGAGAATGATATCAGGTCATCCAATAAAGTTCTGTCCGAATTTTAACCTTTTGTTAAAATGAACGAAATTTAAAGAGTATTTTATAATATCTAATGGAGCTGAACATTATTTTTTATGTTTAGATGCATTTAAACTGATCAAATTTTATTTCAGAGAACAATAAATTTAAATTTTGTTTGATTAAAACCCTGCTAACATGGAAGTACCCAAGAATCATTTGAGGCACATAATAATGATTTATGAGTTCAAGAAAGGAAACTCAGCAGCCGAAGCGGCTAGGAAACATTCACTCAGTTTATGGAGAGGAATGTGGAATGAAAGAACTTGGTAGAAGATGGTTTGCAAAATTCAGAGGTGAGATTTCACCATTGAAGATGAAGATCGAACTGACGTCCAGTTGAGTTTGATGAAAAGCTTTTGAAGCAGCCTTGAAGAAAATCCTGCTTTATCAGTTGAGGAATTGGCAGTGGTTCTCAGTTCAAACCATGCAACTATTCATCGTCATCTTCAACAACTTGGAAAAGTTCCTAAACTTGGAAAATGGGTGCCTCATGAATTGTCTGAAAACAACCTCAAATCCCGAGTTGACATCTGCCTTCTCTCCATTCTCGCCAACTTGTTTCAACTTTTTGGATAGACTTGTGACTGGCGACGAAAAATGGATCTTTTTTATCGAAATGTTAAGCGTCGTAGACAGTGGCTTGGTAAAGGGAAGGACCTCAGCCACAGCCGAGAAGGGAACTTCATGGGCAAAAGGTTCTTTCTTTCAATCTGGTGGGATCGCCAAGGAATAATCCACTTTTAATTCTTACCACCTAATGCAACAATTAATGCCCAAATATACTGTCAGCAATTAGAGCGTTTGAACCAAGCTTTGAGAAAAAAAAAGACCTGCTCTAGTGAATCGAAAAGAGGTGATGTTTCACCAGGACAATGCGCGACCACACACAGCAAGAATCGCGTCACAAAAGATCGAATAACTTGGTTGGGAGAAAATTCCTCATCCACCTTATTCTTCCGATCTTGCTCCTTCAGACTACTATTTGTTTCGTAACTTACAGAATCATTTGGAAGAAATAGCTTTTGTAACACAGGAAGAGGTTAAAACTGACATTTGTGAGTTCTTCGAATC